TGCCCCTTTTAATTAACCAAATCCACCGAGCCCCGCAGCCCGGCTCGCTAGTGCCGGCGGCGTCTGTCCTGCAGCCGAGACGAAAAGTCTTCCTCCGCCCCGCCGCCGCCGTGCACCCCACCGGCCCCGGCCCGCTTCTCTGCCCTCGCGGGGGAGCCGGAGCTCGCCGGGCATCCAAGCCTCTCTGCCCCGGCCCGGCAGTGGGACGGGAGGGGACTCGGGGAGACGCAGTCTGCGCCTACCGAGAAGGAGAAGGGACGTGTCCGGTTGTTTCCCTGCCTGACACGGGGAAATTGCAATGTCGGGAGCGGCGAAAGGCAGTTTGCACTTGAGAGTTTGTTGGTTGTTTTGTTTTTGAAGGACTCCTATAAGGTTTTCAAAGGGATTCCTCTGCACTGCTCCCTCCCCCACGGAACAGGACACCTGGGGCAGGGGCGTGTTGCACTCTTATCCAGGCACTGCCACATTCACCCCAGGTTCAGATGAGGAAGCCTGTGTCAAACACTTCGTGGAAACCGGTGTGGAGCCTGAAAGCGGTTTGCTCTTATCCTGCCGAGCTAAGTAGCTTCCCAGGGCTGAGAATGGCACTAAAGCGATGACCAGTGGAACGAATAGCTGGGATTTGGGACAACTGACACTGAGTGATGCCTGGTTTTAAGGAATAGTAGCATTTAGCGAACATTTATCCAGGCTTCCACATGATGAATAGTACAGAACCCCAGTACATCAGCAAGGTGCCTGTACACAGAATAGAAATAATGTCTAAATAATAGCACTGAGAAGTGCCCTCTCTCATAGCCCTTTCACAGGTAGCATTCCCATTAAAGTCAAGGGAAATGTTACCAGTTGAGATAAGGTCCAAAAGATGACCTCTCTTTTGTTGTCATTTACATTTTGTTTCAATGTCTGCTCCAAAGTCATTCCAGTGTGCTTGAATGGGCATGAATCCCAAGAAGGGAGTAAGTATGGAATCAGGATTTGTTTGGTATGTTTAATGTATCAGGAAAAAAAATGTCTGTGCGTTTGAAACTTATCATAAATATTTCACATTATATTAAAATGTAAACATCTTGACTTTTGTTAGTAAAGATCCCTCAAAGAAAAGCATTTTACAAATGCTCATAAAAACATATAGCAAAACAAAAATATCCATTTGCCATAATAGAAATGTGGTCTATGACCCAGAGCTCATACTGAAAATATTAATAGATTCATAGGTTTTAAGGCTAGAAGGTACCACTAGCATCACGTAATCTGACCTCTTGCAAACCACTAAGGAAACTCATCCAATAATGTGTGCATCAGGCCCATAACTTTTGTTTGAGCTACAGCATCTCTTTAGGAAAAAAAAAGAAAGATATTCTCAGGCCTGATTTATATATATTCAGCAAAGGAGAATCCGCCACATCTCTAGCCGAGTTTTTGCAATGTTTAATTACCCATGCTGTTAAAATTTTGCAGTTTATTTTTAGTCTAAATATGTCTCACTTGAGCTTCCTGCCATTGGATCACGCTGGGACTTTTTTTTTTCCTGCTGTATTAAAGAACCACATACTATCAGAATGAGCTCCCAAAATATCACATTTCCTAGCATTTCACTGAATGCTCATAGTGAGACTATAAGAAAAATGGGGATAACATTGGATTATCATTCTGGATAGAGCATGTGTTTTGGGAAGAATAAAGACAGAATCTCTTTGCCTGATTGTTTGTTAATTGTTCCCCTTGGGATGATGCTGAGCACTGAGAAAACCCACAGCTCCTACCTCATGCAATGCAGAGAGCTCCAAACTCACTGTTTTGCTCTCCTGGAAGCACAGTCTTGCAGTCCAGGAATTGGTCTGGGGATCATGAGACACTGGTTCCATGGGCAGACCTAGGATTTTGAAAAGCGGGATGCAGATGATGTATTGCAACATCACATAACACAACGCACTTTTCTCCAAGTAGAAAATAAAACAGAAATCTACAAGCCTTACTAATATGCTAGGGGCCTGTGGCTGTATTCTTCAGTTTAAGATTAAAGCAACCATGAATATAACCATATCTGAATGTGCACAGATTTGCTAGATTATATATTAAATTTGAAAACACAACAAACTAGGCAAAAGCAGTCAAAACTTATCGTTTTATTAACCCTATATTCAAGATAGTTAAATGCATGTCTCTTCTGATTCATAAAACAAAATCTAGCTTCCTTCAGCATCTTGACAGTGCATCCAACACTTCAGTCAATCATTTCCATGAGTTAATATTCACCTGAGTTAAATGTTACCACACCTGAGTTAAGGTTTTTAGCTAAAACAGTCAGCAGGGCTGTGAAACAGAAGAGAGATATTACCAGGAATGGCTAACACACCAAAACTGCAGAAGGAAGGATAACTGGATTAATGAAACATCAAGATCATGAAAAAAGAGC